GTATATATATATATATATATATATATATATAATGTTACTCATCCACAAGATCCTCATCGGATCCAAAAATTGTCCGAGACAAATCTATAATATCGTTTTCTGAATTCATGTTTATCATTTGTTTTTGGCTTAATTTCTTAGCTTGAGCTTCAGTCACAGCACACGAGGGAAACACATCGAGATTCTCCTCAACATCATCATCCTTAGATGAAACAGTGATCGTCTCGCTAACCATTTTAGGTTTCGCAACAACTTTTCTCCCAGCCAAATCATTTCCTAACAATAATGATACACCCTTAATTGGCAGAGTAGGTCTTACTCCAATCACAACTGGTCCCAAAACTAGGTCTGATGCTAAATAAATGTTATGAAGAGGAACAATAACAAAGCCACCCTCAATACCCTGATTAATAACAGACTCACCAGTGGCAGAACTTGAATCTAAAGACAATATACCTTCTAACAACAATGATTGAGTCACCCCAGTATCATGTAGTATGGGTATGGGATTGCCAGTGTCAGTTGTCAAAGACACAGAACCAACAGACATAAAAGGTCTAAATTCCTCCCTGACTACATCAGCCTTTATATCAGTGGCCAAATCAACAACATTGGGTGATTTGGTGAAATTACGTCCACATGTGGACAGAAACGCATTGGGTGTTGCCTCCTTTTCTCTTTTCTTTTTCAAACACTAACAATCGGACATAACATGACCAGGTTCTTTACAAAAAATGGCAGACAGGCCTTGATGAAGTTTTATCCAGACTGTCAGATGATTTCAAACTAGAGGAGCTGGATTTTTTAGAAGAATCCTCAACTTTAGTGGATTGAACATATATATATGTTTTTGTTGAGATGGTAGGAATGTGTAATCATCAGAAAGAGCAGCTGCTTCCTGTAGTGTTTCAACTTTCTTTTCATCAAAGTAAGTTTTGAGGTTGTCACGTGCACAGCATTTAAATTCCTCAATTAGACATGATTGTCTTAGTTTGTCGAAACTATTGCCAATATGCATAGAATTACACCATCCATCAAAATAAACTTCCTTTTCATGGGCAAATTCCATATAAGTATGATTATGTTGTTTGCTATAACCTTGAAACTTTTGGCGATAAGCCTCTGGTACTTACTTGTATGCTTTGAGAAGGTTTTAATGCTTTACATTTAAAATTTTATTAAACCATAATTTTTAGTCTTCAATTTTGTTTGGTTACAGAGCTATAAAATAGAAAATCAGTCCCCTCCTGCCACACCCACCTGTCACATCCTCTGTTTCACAATTTGTTGATAGTTCTCTCTTACGTTTCATTATGTATCACTATAACCAATAGAAAGTCAAGGTTTTCATCTATCAAATGACGTATTGTATAACATTGCATTCTGAACAAAATATTTTCAGTTTCACTCACAGTAGAAGATTCGTTCCCTTGGGAAAGTTAACAAGTAGCTTGGATGAGTTTGTAATGGCTCTTATCACATAGTTAGAAAACCAGAAAAATTTTTAGAGTTAATGAAAATTTTCTAGTTTTTGCATGTTATTAG